ATATATAAAACTTAGGACGTGTAGAAAATGTAGATCTACATCATACTAAGATAGATGTGAAAAGTCACCATGGTGAAACCCAAGGAAAATAACTAGACCTTGGGTTGCACCCTAGGAATTATACGTGAATAGAGTTCCATATTGAATACAAAATTAGCCGGGTTATATCCTCAGTTAGATTATTCAACGGCTTGGTTTAAAGGAAAATCGTCACCGGAAACCATCGTTGTTTCACGTTTTTTCCCATTGAATTTAGGGGTTTCCGGTGTTCATGTTCCCTTTAACCGATGGATTGGTTTAAGGGAAAATCTTAACAGGAAACCATCGATTTGCCCATTAAATTTGGGGTTGTCCGGTATTTTTGTTCCCTTAAAACGAATCCATTGAACCAATATCAACCACCATTAACCACTATAAACTACTATTAACCATCATTAACCATGAAACCAATCCATGGAACGAACGACTTTTGTCAGAAACATGATACGACGTTTTGCGTTTCAGGTGAAGGCACAAGCCCAGGTGGAATTGGAGGAGGCGGATGGGGTAGCAGGGGTTGTCTGAAAATGGTGATATCCAAAAAACTGGGTAATTATGGAAAGATCCACCATTTTTCATAGTTTTCATGGGAAAGTTCAATAGTTATGTAACAAATTACCAGAGGGTATAGGGATATATATATATACACACTATCAACTCAATGGGATATATATATATACTGGTTGGTGGGTTGGAGCATTTGGATTATTTTCCCATATATTGGGAAGAATACTCCCAACTGACTTCCATATTTTTCAGAGGGGTAGGGCAGCCACCAACCAGAAAAACTGGGTAGATTATCACGACCGAACCCTGTTCTCCCGAAGCCTGAAATCATGGTTTATTGCAATAAAATCATCCCCAAATGGCTGCAAGATTCAGGTTAGTGAAATATTATTGTTTACCCAGATTATACAATAGGGGTTTTTGGAAAAACCATATTTTCAGACACAGCGATATATGATACTTTATTTGGAGTTTGAATAACCAACTTGGGGGGAAACCTAACAGGGATTTTTCCGTATAGAAATCTGAAGATATGGATATGTATGGGTACATTTAAGGTTGAGTACATAATCTATATGGCGGCGTAATAAGGCAACGTGAATCATAATGGTAGTAAGTTGTGGGTTATGGTAGGTCCTGCAGTTGTACCAAATGACAACTATGGGGATGCCAAAGGGTCTGAAAATAGGATAGCGAAAACTTTATTTATATCAATATTTATCACCAGTTTCCCTATGTTAATGAACCATAGTAACGGCTTTTTGGTGGGTGAAGTTTGCAAGAGCCGATTTCGACCTAGAGTTGGGTACCATGGATGCCACGGTCATTGCTTCAACCATTTTGGGGCACCCTTGTCCTTTTAAAGCTATAATGTTGGTAAAACAATAATAAACTACCCCATTTTTAATGGTTTATACCACCCAATTATGTAATTAATAAACTACCTCATTATGGTTTATACCACCCATTTATGTAATAAACCGCCCCATTTTTTATGGTTTATACCACCCAATGGTGATTTGGGGGATGGTTTATTATTATTGTTTTACCCACATTACCCGCATGTTTGTTTCTGGTGGTCAGTGGTTGTGTGTAATGCTAGGTCATTTACCCAACTATCATGGAGGATCACACTAGGTATTTCCTATGTGGTTGTTCAACAATTGTGTAGCCCCAAAGCGTGCTGTTAACATGGGAGACATAGAGGGATAACCTGATAACCTGATAACCCCCAAAACAAAACCACACTACATATCATAGAGACCAGTGAGATTCCATATAGATTCTGGGATCTGACATATTCTGACAATGGTTCACTCTTTTTGAACATCGTGGGGGGTCGCTATATTCTGATATGGACGTCCATTTACGAGTGGTAATTTTAGTCTACTAAAGGGTATGTGTTTGTTTCCATTATCCTCAATGCATAACGCGCTTCTATCGTGAATTTGTGAGATGCGGAATACATGTGTCATCATATATTCCTCATGAAATCCCGTATGATGTTTGCAATTCCTCATATATCCCTCCATGATGTCATGTGTCATCACATGTGTATACAATTATATGGATATCCCTTCAACTATAGTTATACCTATACAATAAACCACATAGTTAACCTAGTTAGTTGAACCAACTCAGCTATCGTTTGGGGGGCCAAGGGTCCCACCTTGTAAAAAATGCTTGGAATTCCTCAGACCAGGGCTCAACTCTGATCCTCCAGGTCCAAGTTCGCCCAAAAACGATGCAAAGACAGCGAGGCAAAGCTCTTTCCGCGATGGGTCAATACATGAGGTCTGGGTCAATTACATACAATATAATACAATATATACATATATTATAAATATCTATATATAATAGTATATATATAATATTATATATGTATATATTATATTATGACATGTAATAAATATATATATATATATATTATAACATGCAATATATATATATATAGATATATATATATATTATATTATAACATGCAATATATATATATATAAATATACATTTATATTATATTATAACATGCAATATATAGATAGATATATATATATATATACATATGTATTATATTATAGTTGAATATACCAAATGAATATATATATATATTATATATATACACGCATAAATGACAAAAGTGAAGATGATATGGGTCCAAATCATGATCTCCCCTTATGGCGTACTGTGGGTCCAAGGTGATATCCATGCGGAATCGATTTTCGTTTTTTTTTGGTGAGGAAAAAGCCTCTGGTAATTTGGAATCAATGGGATTTCATCAGGTGACTTAATGGTGTTTTATGGTGACTAAATAGGCTTTAATCATGTTTTATGTTGACTTTTCATGGGATCTAATGGGATTTACTGGGATATACCATCTGGTAAAATAGTGATGTTCCATAGTTTTTTGTATGTTTACCAGACAATGGTTCCAAGTAAGGATCTAATCTAAAGACGTGCCGCAAGTGCAAGTGTGGCATTTGGGAGAGAACCCATTCATTTTGGAGTACTCAGTTTCGGCCCATGCCCAAGTGTGATTCAAATGCTTTATGTTCATCAGCATGTCATAAAAATGGCAAAAAAACACATCGAAGCTCATCATCCCATCCTTATGTGGTAATGATTTTATGTTTATAGTGTCCAATTGTTCAACCGTTGGATGACCATTTCAATTGATATTGTCCAGATTGAAAAGCACCAGATATCATCCCAGGGTTTGTTTGAAAATTTGGGTACTCCAAAATCCGGCAGTTCATCATCATGTTCCCTATGGTCCTATACTTCATTTTGAGACACCCTCCATTCACCGCAAGGCCCTCGTGACACCCAAAGCGGCTGCGCCAAGCTGCGTTTAAAACGGAAGAGCAGGGGTTGGTGAGATCCTCGATGCTACCATAATTCGTCCAGAAAGTGTGATATTTTTTGTTGTCCCCCTCAAATAGAATTCTAAAATGAGAAACTGGTTGGTGGTTTGGAACATTTGTATACATTTGTTATTGTTCCATATATTGGGAATTTCATCATCCCAACTGACGTTCACTCCATCATTTTTCAGAGGGGTAGGTCAACCACCAACCAGTTAATATTGGTTAATATTGGTTAAGAATATCATAAACCATCCAAAACTAGTGGTTAATATTGGTTCATATTGGTTAATAATGGTGAATAATGGTTAATCGTTGGAATAATGTTGGAATGATGTTGGAATAATGTAGGTCAATCACCAACCGGGAAAAGGATCCGTTGGACTTCGGGGGGCTATTTTCATCCCGACGCGGTCGCTTAGATAACCACGTTTTGTGATGGTTTTTGAACGGAGCCCAGCTAGTTGAGATAGATAGGCTACTCCAACCATTGGCTTTCCTAGAAAGGGCTGCACCATAGTTAACATTGGTGTATATTATTCATGTGGGTAAAACAATGCCATTTTTACCACCCATGACTTCCTGGGAATGTTTTTTACATAGCACCAAACAAAACATTGTGATTTTTCTGGGGGATGATGGGTTCGATGATGGGTTTATGATGGTTTATGGCATTGTTTGACCCACGGTATACCCGGCCTGGTAAACATACAAAAAGCGACATAGAAAATGGCCATTTATATATATATATATAGTTGATTTACCCAGCTATAACATGGTGGATCTTTCCATCATTTTTTGTATGTTTACCAGAGGGATCCAGAGGGTATATCCCAGTAAATCCCATTAGATCCCATTAATTCCCATTCACCATAAAACCCCAAATTATTTTACCCACAGTATATATGTTATATGAAAAACTCAATTTTTTTTCGTATGGTAACTGTGGTCATATCCAACTCGCGACTTGTTATCGCGGATCGCGACTGGCTTCACCGACCGATGCACCGACCGATGCTGCAAGTCTCAAGGTAAATGGTTGAGGTAGATGCTGGATCCATGTTGGTGAATATATCACTGGTTGGTGGTTTGGAACCATGGAATTTTGAATGACTTTCCATCCAGTTGGGAATTTCATCATCCCAACTGACGAACTCATATTTTTCAGAGGTGTAGGTCAACCACCAACCAGATATCTTTGGTGAATACTTTTCATGAAAAGAAAGCCGAGATCTGCTTAGTGAAGTCCTAGCTTTGGGGTAAAACATGGACCAAGGATGGATGTTGGGAGAACCGAACCGGGGACCCATTTCAGGTGTGGGGAAGTGGTTCCAATGTCTTCAGATCTTGTGGAGACCCCAACATGGTCCCTGGTAGCGTTGTTCCATGTTTGGTTGGTATTTGCACGCTTCATGTTTGATTTACTGTATCATACTGTATCCATTTGTATCCCAAAATATCACATGTCTTCTGATCCATCCTGGGATAATAGATATATATATATATAATGCAATATATCTATATATATATACATTACATATATGTATATATACAGTATATATATATCCACTGACTTGAGCCACTGACATCCCTGGATGGGATTTCGCAGATTCCCATGGCATCCACGGTCCCGCGAGTGGTGCATCAAACGGCACCAAGAAACAAGTCGCGCTGGGATCCGCGATGGTTTGCGTGTCAGAAGACGTGGAGTCTCGGCCAGTGAGAGTTGTTTCAAGGTGGTGGTGGTTCCCCAGTTATAAATGGGTTATAGTTAAAATCCCATTAACTAGTTCGATAGATCACCTATAAACCATAGTTATTGGACTTATAAACCAACTTAGCTATAGATAGATCACCTATATAATCCCATTAACTAGTTCGATCGATCACCTATAAACCATACTATTTAAATATCAAATCATGACTATTGTGGGAATACCCACCTAATTAATAAACCATGGTTAGATGTTTGAAGACGTTTCAAGGTCATCGTGACCTAATTCTTTCAAAGGAAGTCCTAGAGGAAATCTTAGAGGAGCGACCCGGTTGCATGGCCCCTATACTAATCAATTAACATCAATTAACTATTAATAATACGAAGTGATAACCATTAAAAGTCATTGTCATGAGCATTAATAACCATCAATAATAACCAATAATAATCATCATAAATCAATCATTGATAATTATAGTGATAATCTCTGATAACCATTAGGAATCACAATCATCATGTTACTAAAACCTCCCCAAATACGAAAAACTACCCCAGATTCTTCGTTTTGGGAAACTTCAGGTCCCATTTGCTGATTTATCCCCAAAATCAAAACTCATTAGCCCCGGGGGGCTCTTTCATCAGGGTCCGTCTTTTTTTAAGGTGTTTAATTTATAGGGGATAGCTTCTCAATCCAATTTCTTGCGACATTTTACAGTAGATGTTCAAAAGGAATTTGATCGATTTTGAAATCACTTGTTTTTCTTTATTATGAAGTGATAAAATCATACTTAAGGGAAAGCTTTGAAATCATCAATTAGTGTTTTAAAATAATGTTCATCGATTTTGAAGTCGACATGTTTTTTTTTTAATAAGGTGTTGAATTTAATATTGGGGAAAGCTTCGAAATCCGTTTTGTTTTGGCAATATGTTTATTAGATTTTAAAAGGAATTGGATCGATTTTGAAATTGGAAATTTCAGTCTTTCTAAATAAGACTTCAAATTTTATATTAGGAGAAAGCTTCGAAATCCAATTTTTGGCAACATGTTCAGTATATTTTGCTAAGGGTTTTGATCGATTTTGTTTTTCCCCACCTGCCAGGTGAGGGTTGTTAGATTTTATGTCAGTTGCCTCCTCCTCCTCCTGCCTCGTCCTCCTCTCGTCCTCCTCTCCTCCTCCTCCTCCTCCTCTCCTCCTCGTCCTCCTCGTCCTCCTTGTCATCCTTGTCGTCCTCTCGTTGTCCTCGTCGTCCTCGTTGTCCTCCTCGTCCTCCTGCTCAACTGCGACTCGCGATCCACAGTGTTCGCTGCCGGACCTCAACCACGACCATCCACGCCCAGTGTTCCCTGCCGGACCTCAACCACGACCATCCACGCCCAGTGTTCCCTGCCGGACCTCAACCACGACCATCCACGCCCAGTGTTCCCTGCCGGACCTCAACCACGACCATCCACGCCAAGTGTTCCCTGCCGGACCTCATGTAGGAAGATATGTCAAAGAGTGCAGAAGAATTGCAGAGAATGAGAAAAATGCCAGAAGATATGCCAGAAGATATGCCAGAAGATATGCCAGAAGATATGCCAGAAGAATAGAATGCCAGATAGAATGCCAGAAAATATGTCAGAATATATGCCAGAAGATATGCCAGATAGAATGCCAGATAATATGCCAGAAGATATGCCAGATAGAATGCCAGATAGAATGCCAGAAGAATTGCCAGATAGAATGCCAGAAAATATGCCAGAAGATATGCCAGATAGATATGCAGAAGATATGCCAGAAGATATGCCAGAAGATATGCCAGAAGATATGTCAGAATATATGCCAGAAGATATGTCAGATAGAATGCAGAAGATATGTCAGAATATATGCCAGAAGATATGCCAGATAGAATGCCAGATTGAATGCCAGAAGATATGTCAGATAGAATGCCAGAAGATATGCCAGATAGAATGCCAGAAGATTTGCCAGATAGATGCCAGAAGATATGCCAGAAGATATGCCAGATCATATGCCAGAAGATATGCCAGATAGAATGCCAAATAGAATGTCAGAAGATATGTCAGATAGAATGCCAGAAGATTTGCCAGTAAGAAAATGTATAAATGTCATGGTGGGGATCACACGAAGTAAAGTAATTTATGTGTTAGCCAGAGTGCCAAATACTCATCATCGACTGCGACATAATTTGTATATTGGGTTCTGAAACTTGTCCCGTCAGTTAGTCCAGCATCAAGCGGCGGTGAAAGATTGAGAGCATCAAAGCGTTTGGGGATAGACTTCTCTGGCTGGAGCGTCAGTCAGCTGCGGCATGGGGGACTGGGTACGAATCTATCGAAAGGTTCAGCTGTAGACTTGTAGGAGCATCAAAGGAGGTATACCGCTGTCCAGGCACACCTTAGGGGGTGCCCGTCAGTTTTTGCCGAGTTAGCACTCCTCCACTCGACACCCTGTCGACTGGGGTCGTTGTTAATAGCGGACTTTTCAACTGGGGATTTCTGACTGGAGAGGTTTATGTGTTTGGTAAAAGGATTTGTTTTTATTGGGGGACAGTTTCTGCCCTCAATATTATTACCCCCATGACAATAGAAACTACCCCAGGTTTTACTGTTTAGGGAGCACGGGACGTTAAGTATTAGGGTGAATGGATGCAGCCTCATGCACGGCCATCGCAAGGGTCTGCATTTGCCCTGGGAGTTCACAGCTTTCAGCCGCATCGTGCTGCATTAATAACCATTGGATAATCATAATCATCAAAAAGTATTACTTATCAGTTATCAGTAACAGTAACAGCCATGAATAGTCATTGAATATCAAAGTCATTCATAGCCATTTGACCATCATAATCGTAATATAACTAACAGTCATAAATTATCGGCAACAATTATTAATAACCATTCATAAACATGAATAATCATCATCATCATACTCACTGATCACCATTAATTATAATATCATAATCGTTTTCATTTCAGTAAGAGCTGTTAATATTCATGATACCAACTATAACACTCATTGATAATCATTTATCATCAAAATCATTGATCACCATTGATGATCATTGATAGCCATTAATACACGCAACGACGCATAGTCATGTTCATTAATAGCCATAAACAATTATATTGACAATCATTAGTAGCCATCAAACACCACAATCATAATCATCAATGATCTTCCATACTCATCCATAATCATGTTTAACTATTGTTAATCACAATCATGTTCCTACAAATCATCCATTTTAATAGGATGTTCCATTATAAACTATCCATTTTGGGGATGATTCATTTATGGAAACCCCCATTGAATAGCCATGTTATCCTCTCTTTATTCGACATGCTCAAAGAAAACTCTCCCTGCAGACTGTCTTTTAGACGTCTCAGGATCCAGGTCTGTCCGCCTGAAGAGTTTCAACACATCTTCTGGGAGGATCCGCAGTTGCGTGAACTGGTGAAGGAGGTCTTTCCGCAGTGCTTGGAGATGCGCCGTGGCCGTGGTAACTGGGGATGGAGTGGGGGAGCTGACTGAGAATGAGAACTGGGGGGTTCCTGGAATGGGGGTACCCCAACTGGATGGTTTGTTTTTGCGAAAATCCATCTATAAATGGATGATTTGATTAATGGATATGTAAGAATGGTTTTTGTTCATTAATAGTCATGTTTCATTGTAAGAATCATCAATCACCATTCACAACGATAATCATAATCATTAATGATATTCCACTGGTTATAACATTAACTATCACTAATCATTTATAATGATAACCATTAACTATCACTTATAACATCTTATAACCATTGATACTTGGCTAAGCCGTGCCGAATAAACTTATTTTCGACCGAGAAGATGGGTCGTTGGAGCCTCTGGTTATCTAACAGTTTGCTATGGAAACCATGGCCCATAGACACAGATGATGAACATGTTGATTTACTGAAAAAACACATGCTATTTTGCATAGCTACGTTAAATAACCAGAGGGTACTTCAAGTATTTGTGCTTCTTCTGCGGCTCTTCAAAGGGATGATAACAGTTACAACAACCACACAGCCACACAGTGCCAATTGTTTTCTGTAGTAACTGTAGTAAAAATCGCAGTAATTGGTTCCTGGATCCAGTGATTTTGTGGTGGATCGAGTGGATCATCCCACTTCGCCAGTGGCTAACGATAGCAATAAGTTATCCATTGATGGGGTAAGCTACTTAGGGGACTTACTACCCAGGGTTATCAACCACTAAGTGGGACGGTCCCAATGATCCCCCACGTCCATATTTTTCTTGGAAGGTCATGCTTCATCATCCAATCATCCAAGGTACGACAACTACGAGCAGCATATCCAACGTGTGGATTTCGCGCGGGCTGCCACGTTATACCTTCATGGAGGCCTTTACGTGGATCCTTGGTTTTCTGTCTGATTGCCTCTATGGTGGATCCCAAAAACCATGGGTTTCAATACTAAAATGATCTGACTTGGATGATTTGGAGGTAGCCTTATTTTCGGAAACCATCAGATCCCAAAGTGAGTTCATTGAGGAAACTCCATAATTACCTATTTTCGGGGAAACAAACATGGTTTCCTGCAAAAAAACATGTAATATAGTCCCCTAACCTAATCCATTGACCATGTGCATGGTTCCATCAGGTCCATGATTGCAGCATTTGGTGAATTCCAGCAGCTTTGTGGATGACACGACATTGTTTTTGGAACGCTTGAGAAAGGAGCAGGCAATTTTTTTGTGTTGGGATATATTACTGGTTGGTGGTTTGGAACATTTTTTTATGGTTCCATATATTGGGAATAATCATCCCAACTGACGAATATTTTTCAGAGGGGTTGAAACCACCAACCAGATTAATATATTAGATATTAATATATATATATATACATACAAATACATTGGAATGTTGCGCAAAGCATGATGAATGGTGGATGACCCACATGGTTATGTTTCCATTGCCAGGCGGACTCCACCGGTCTTTGAAATTCAATTTTTGGTGGTTTCTCGAAAGCGAGACCACTAAAGCAGGATTTGTTCCGCCCTTGACCTTAGTGCTGTTTGACAGCGGTAGAGACAACCAGCTACGCGCGAAATCCCCAGCAATGATTGTCATCATGAGTCAAAAAACAAACCAAACAAACAACAACAATTTCAGGGGTGACGTCAAGACACACCTTGGGACTGTCGAAACCACAAATTTGGATGAATTTGTCACACTATGACCCCCGAGACGCAATCTGCACAAGGTTTGTCAAGTGTGCTGAGGCTCAGGTCATGTATAGTCATGTGCTATGTGTTTTTGATTCATTCTCTATTATGCGCTAACTCCAGCGTACATCCTATGTGCCTTGTGAACTTCCAGAACTGGTTTTGGAAGACGATTTCCGGCGCATGTGCCTTTTTTTACATGTATGTTGGAATTGTGGCTGTGTAGTATGTGTACTCAACTCAACAATCACGGAAGTGAAAATTGTAAAATCCATTCACTCGGAAGGTATCGGAAAGTGAGGTTCCATGATCTATGATATTAGGATTTTCACTCAAACATGGCTGTCTCAGCTCAGGTGCTCGTGCTCATAAATCTCCTCGTTCTCATCATCATAAAAAAAGTTATCACAATCAAATCATAATCATAACAATAGTTCTACTCAATGATACTCATTCATACTCATCACAATTTTCAGCAAGAATATCCTCATATTATCCCCACTTGGAGGTTTCCTGAGTCATGGGGGGTACCCCTAAATCATCCAAGTCAGACCAGACCATTTTAGTATCCCGTGGTTTTGGAAAGTTTTGGGGGTACCCCCCAAAATCTCCATCGTCCCATTTAGTCAATGGATTTCAAGGGAAAATCAGAAAACCGAGATTTCCATAGAGATTTTCCCCATAAAAAATATGGCAACTCATGGGGTTTTCCTGTAAATGTTCCCTTAAGCCATGGCCATTGATTTAGGCCTTTAGGCCATGGCCATTGGCGCTGAGGATATGGATGTGGAGGCGCTCTCCTGCCACACTGCTGAAGGATGGTGGGCCATCATGAGCTCAAGATGTTTCGCTTTCCTACCCGCTGGCTATTTAACATAGCTATGGAAAATGGCCCATAGAAATAGATGGTTTACCTATTAAAAATGGTGATTTTCCATGGCTATGTTAAAGAACCAGAGGGTAAGTCATGGGGGTACCCCCAAAGCATCCATTTTTATAAAGGAATTTCCACGAACAAAGCATCATAAACCATCCATTTATCATCCATATTTTAGATTGGGATTTTCTATGATTAAAAAATCAAAGTATTGGGGTACCCCTATGTTGTTTGGAAACCCTCCATATGAAGATTTAACCATCATAGGTTTTTTTCATAGGGAAGTAACCATGATTCCCATAGGATCCATGTATGCTATATATGGTAACATTTACCATCAATATACCCCAAATGTTAGCATATATATATACCATACATGGATCCTATGGGATTGATCATGGGAGAACAATGAGAACAATTGGAAGATGAATCCCATCCCCCTGACATGAAAAACACCCCATTGTCTGGCCCCAAACATGTTTAAGTTTCCTTTCTTACTAGTAGCGATAATTTCATTGGGGGTCTTCAATATTAGGGAAAAGGACATATAATATATGTTTTATGTTTGGTGGATATGATGTATAATGGGATATATATATATATGGTTGGGACTTACCAATAAGCATGCTAATATGTTATTTGATGTGATATAGCGGAATATGATATACTGGGATATCACGGTTTTTGTTCCACAAATGGCCACATTAACGCAGGAAAAACAATGCACAAAAAAGTATTCAATCATCAAAACTGTGGATGTTTACTAGGGGATTTATGGTGTGTGTGTGTGTGGAACCAATCATGATTGATGAACCGATTTTATGTATTGTTTTCCATGTGTTTTCCCTTTTAATTATATCCTGGGATATAGGACAAGCAATGTTTCCCCAATCAGTGGGAACTCCAACTTACCATAGCGACCCAATATTAAATATGATGTGTATTTCCAGGATGGCTAGCTGGCGCAACACTGGCAACACCCCCAGTGTTCACGACCGTTCTGCGAACATGATGGCACATGGCAAGAAAAAAATAGTCGCAAAGATCAGATTAAAGATAGATGATGGCACATGTTTTATCTTCTCTGGCCGACCCTGAAAGACTAAGTGCTGTAGCCAGGCCCAGCATTCGCTTAGCAAGGGGAAGAATATGTGTTACAATCATGAACGAATGAAAGGAATGGACATTTGTGGCCAGATGATAGGAATCACGTTTCGCAATCACTTTTGCACGGAATGGCGAGGTGGGAAGCATGTCGTGCAACACTTTCTGTGAAAGGATTGTCATTGTCTCATTTTGGGGGTTCTTGAATATTGGGGACCCCGTCAAAACATAGCAATTGTCATTTGAAGTAAGGAATCACATGGTTTTGGAGTCCCGATTTTTAGAAGATACCCATGTGTGTAGATGTCGCCAGTGTGTCTGAAAATGACCATTTTACCATATTTTACCCACATTTCATGGCCACGTTTTCTGCAAAAAAATGAGGTTTTAAACCATATTTTTGGGGGGAAACTGATTTCTAGATAGACAACTTACCGCCCTCTGGGATTTAACATATAGCTATAGAAAATCACGCTTTTTAAGAACGGTAGCTAGAAATATCATGTTTGTTCCCGTTCAGATGGGAGCTGAAGCGCTAGACCCGGAAGATCCCAATATTATGACTGGCCAAGAGAGCCTGGGATCCCTGTCCATGTCATGGAAAAGAGTGGACCTGGGATGAAATAAGAATTGGATAGAATTGGTGTTTATGCCTATATCACCATTTTCATTGTTAAAAACCTTAATCTATGGTTAATCTATGGTTAATCTATGGTGAATTCATTGGAATAACAATATATCTGGTTGGTGGTTTGGAACATGAATTTTATGACTTTCCATCCAGTTGGGAATTTCATCATCCCAACTGACGAACTCCATCATTTTTCAGAGGGGTTCAAACCACCAACCAGCGATTGATATTCTATTGTTAACCAGATATATCATGATATATCTGGTTAACAATAGAATTATTAGATTATCATTCATGTTTGAAATGTTATGGCCAATTTGCGGCATCCATTCGTATTTTCTGGTAGTGATGCCGACTTCGACCTGTTGTCGTCTCAGCCGAGGTCCCTTTCCTCACTTTCCACCAGGCCGTGTAAGTGCCTTGGACAGTCCGAGTGGCATACCCTCTCCTTTGGCCAAGGGCTAAACCACCATTTTCAGAGATGTTTTAGGTAAATCATCGAGAAAGTTCGGACCCGTCAGGTGCCATTTTGTTCTGTGAGATTTCCAGTTTTGCAAACCTTGGTTGGGTTTACATTCTGTCTTTGGCCATGGAAGCATAGACAGCATTTTGTCGAGAGGGTATCGAAGATCGGCCGTTGAAAACTGTTCCACTCAGATTGAGATTGATGGATATTGGACGCCTATAAATAGGGATACTAACAAGCCAAGACAGAAACATGTAGGGTACTTTTACTTAAGATTGGGAATGTTAGTATATGTGTGTGTGTGTTTGTTTTCCAAAGTATGGACATGTTTGTCAGAGCCATTTCTGTGGGTAATAGTTAGCCATGGGCACTGTGCCAAAGTCATTACTGTCAGGATACTATGGCTCGCATGGAAGGGTGAAAGATTAAATCAGATCCACATTATTACGTGGCTGGTCCAATCCATGGTTTCATGCTGTTTTTGGGTGGAAGATACAAATTTGGTGATCTTGATATATCTTGATTATCTTGACCTAACTATCTCGAAAACCTGAAAAACTGTTTGCCAATTTGCATGGTATTTCAGAATTGCCCCCCCTGCGTAGTTTCCCATTCTCCGTCGCTTTTCCCATAGCCTCGCCGCGCCGTGCTCGCACCCAGGTGTGGTGGCCTCGCCCTACCTGCAGAATGAGCGGCATCAGAACTCCTTGATGGCCTCACCGCCCAGGTGAAGGGACAGTCCCCGATTCCAGATGAGTGACTTAATTGGATTAATGGTAACTTAACGGGGTTTATGGTAACTTCATGGGGTTTTATGGTGACATAATGGGATTTTATGGGATTTTATGGTGACTTAATGGAGTTTTATGGTGACATAATGGAATTTTATGGGATTTTATGGTGACTTAATGGAATTTACCCTCTGGTAAACATACAAAAAGCTATTGAAAATGGAATGGCCATAGAAATAGTGGATTTACCAATGAAAAATGCTGATTTTTCATAGTTATGCGTATGTTTACCGGAGGGTTATTCCAGGTAGCCTCTGATAATTGAAATCATGGGTACCTGGAACAACCGGTATTTTAACATACCCTTTGATAATGTACCTGGTAGTTTACCTATATTCGATGATTCTCATAACTATTGAAATGGCCCATTGATAGATGATTTACCTGTCAAACATGGTGATTTTCAATAGGTATGTTAAATCACCAGATGTCAATTAACGAGTTATAAATGGCTTTTCAATGGGTTTTAAATGGGTCATAAATGGGTTTTAAATAGTTTTGAAAATGCTATAAATATGATCACAAACCACTAAGTGGCATGATCCTCCGATAGTTTGCAGGAATCATGCTGAGAAAGTGCCAGTTTTGGTCCAGCTTGTAGGATCAACATGCCCAAGTGCGTCACGTATTTTCTTTTGGAACCGATTTTAGTTTTACTTGGTCCTATTTTTTTTTGTGCATCCCAAGGAAAAGGTACAGGTGGTTTATCAGCCATTGATTTAACAGAACAAAACAGGACTATGATATGCTTATTGCCTACTTACGATGCATGGGACACACGCCAAGTAGCAAAGTTGATTGCATCGAAAATGGGTTCCCATTACTTGGATGTGCTGATGATTTGTTTGTTTTCTAATGGACAAAAAACACACCACTCTTTAGGGGAATCTCGAGAATATGTTTTTTTTTTGGGGGGGGGTTCCGCCGTCGCAAATCCAAGATGATATACCGATATCATGGCTTGGACAAATGCTCCATGTATGGAATATGTGCCACATTTACCCTAAAAATCACCCAAATGTAGGTAAATATACCATCTGGTTGGTGGTTTGGAACATTTTTTATTTTTCCATCCAGTTGGGAATTTCATAATCCCAACGGACGTTCACTCCATCATTTTTCAGAGGCTAGGTCTACCACCAACCAGCCATGGAGCATATGGCTTGGACAACACGCCGCGAGGCATCCGTTTTGGCTGTCGCTGGTACGGGAAGCGCAGCGGCGTCGCTGGGCCGAAATTCTGTCGAAATTGGTGAGTCGCGGTGGGCCGAAATTTGGCAGTTTCCCTGTGTCTTCACCGTGAAGTTCTTCGCTTTTTTTAAAAATATACTGTAGTATATTTCATTATAGACATGTAATATATCCTGTAATATGTGTACTATAATTATTATATATGTATATATATATATATATTATATAAATGACATTTATAATATTACGTTATATATATATATACATAGAGAGTGTAATCCGTTTTTTGGGCGTACCCAAGGAGAAGCTTGTTTTCAGCTGGTCTCCCACTGTCGATGCCTTTGACCCCCATGATATCCACTTGATCATATGGGGCTTTCCTAAGTCATGGGGGCACCCCAAAAAAAATCATCATGCAATTTTTATAGTCATGGATTTTCCATGAAATAAACCATCCTGAACTTTTTGGGGACCCCCATGTTTTGCTATGGAAACCTTCATATCAACAGTTATCACTTGTGAAAAAAACATGTCAGTTTTTTTAAACAGTGGAAAACGTGCCATGAAAAATGATACAAATGATGGTTAAATGGTTTTTGAGTGTTTGAACACTTTCGGTGAATTTCCCCAGATTTTTTTTGTTTTTCAATATGGGGATGGTCAAAGAAAATAACCCAAACGGATTCTGAGATGCCCCAGTGTGACTTTTTCCCCATATCCAATAGGCCAGAGTCTGGCAGGCGATTGCACATAGCTAAAAGAGGAAACCATGATCCATTTAGTGCGATGAATATTAAGATGATTTACCCAACCTGGTTATGACTAACACTTCGCCATGGTTTTTCGATGGCCCAGCCATCGAAATAGATGGGCCATACCGAAGTTAATAGCATGGGTGTTTTATTTTCCATGGCAAACCGTTAAATAACCAGAGGGTACATGGGTATGGGTCAATACCTATAGATACATTTTTAATGGGATGAACATCCATTTACCAGCTATTTTGGGGTTCACTAGGTACCAGGGTTTTGACCCATCCCCACATATTCAACAGTACAGTAGTGATTTTCCAAAACGCATTCTGCACAGTTTCTTCGGAGGGTCAGTCGGTCAGTCGCCACCCATGACGACCTGCCTCAAGGTTTCTCTGAACCGGAGAAGTACAAGACCACCTGGCAGTTGATGCTTGTTAAATCTAGGTTACCCTCTGGTAAACTAACAGAACTATGGAAAATCACTATTTCTAATGGGAAAATCCACTATAAATGGCCATTTTCAATAGCTATGTTAAATTACCAGAGGGTAAATGATGTTAAATGGTTAAATCTTTACCATTTGCTTGTGTTAAATATATTTAAATATCAGGTTGGGTGAAGTTGATATTCGACCCATCCACTTGTCCAATGTGAACCTTTGTGGGATCAGTTGGTTGAAATCTGTGCCATACCTTGGTGAGAAACGTGCGAAACGTCTTGTTGCGGAAGACCCATTGACTGGTCTTGTCCGACCTGTTAGTTGGTCAACGACCAATTGCACTTGAGTTGCTGCAAGATGTATTCTGGTTGATTGAAGCAGCCTTTTGGTTGTTCAAACCCTTTTTTTTTGGCCAGGTTAAGACCAACTTCGGCAAAACAATCCAGTTTTGCATTGTCTCCGGATTCGTTTTCTGTTGTGAAGAGACCAAAAATTGTGTGTTGCCAACAAGCCTGCTGTCTTCGTTGAAAGACCCCATACCGCCATGTTGCTTGAATCACATGCCAATCAAAGGGGGGAGGCCATGGCTATGTTTAGTTCTGTAGGCTTTTTGTGGGATAGATGCAATGCTTGTGAGGTCACCTTTTTTGTTTTTTGTCAAACTGCCACCTCAGGTTTAATACACTGATTCAAACCCACTCTTTGATAGTTTTGGTTGGTCAAAGACACTGCTGTTGGTGAATTAAAGGCCCATGTTGGATGGTTCAAACCAACGCTGCCCGTTTGTTATTGTTTCAATTTCCCCTTGTTGATGAATGACCAACTTGTTTGTTTAAAATCCAATGTTTTGAATGTTTTTTTTTGTTCGTCCCTTTAAATCCTGCATGTCTGTGTCAAATCCCATGTTTTTGAATCTTAAAACCATCATGTTCATTGCTTCAAGCCCCATCTCCTAATTGTTTTGAAGGTTAAAACATGTTAAAAGCCCCATGTTCGTTGCTTCGTTGCTTCAACCCTTCACTTTTTCCAGGTTTTTCGTGCTGCCCTAGCTCTGAAGCGCCAAGGACCGGGCCCCAGCTCTTGGATTTCTGCATCGAAGCTGCAGAAAACGCGGACGCGGTGCACGTGCTGCCTGCGGAGCGCTTTAATCCTGTGGCCTGGCTTTTTTGGTGGTCGATTTTGCCCGTTGAAAAGTGGGATTTTTAATAGTGGATAGGCATATATAGACATATAATATATATATACACAGATAATCACAGATATATATATATATATATGTGTATATATAGGGGATAACCATACCATTTCTATAGTGGGTTTTATGGTATTGGTATGGATTTAATATGATATACATTTATATAGTGAATAACCATATAACTATATCTTACTGGTATATTTATATCATACCACTCTCATTTTCCCATTACATCTCCCAAAAACATTTAGTGGCATAATAACTAATAAGTGAATATAAACATATGGATAATAGTGAGGATTTTGATGTAGTTTCCCCATTGATTGTGATATAAGTTGGAATATCATGGGGCTTTATGAACCAACAAACCTAACCGCGGGGCACCACCCTGTAGCTTTGTGATGATTAATGGTAGATATATTATTCTGGAAATATTTTGGATAAATGATAACGACTTAAGTGCGACTTCACGGGAATAATGGGTAGTAAGAGGAATCATTCCAATATAGCCTAATCTCAGGTTTGGGAATCATTATTATTTGATACATTTTATACTTATTGATGGTGATGTACTGGTCGTGATACAAGGGAATAGCTTAGAATGGGATGTAATTTGATATTTTGTGATATAAACTTGGATTTAAACATCAACAAAGGGGATATACTTAGATACACAATGGGATATATACTGTAATGGGAATTATTCTCAACCTACTACGCGATATATATATATATGCGATTCATATCGATTAATATTAATTGGAATTATGTTTAACCTAACAACTTGGATTTAACAATCAAAACTGGAACACATATACTGGAATAGTTCACCAACTATATCCATATACATAATATATATATATATATTTATTAATTGTACTCGTAGTTATATTGATGGAATGGATTTTCCCATGAAAAGAAACTTGCTTTCAACGATAAAAAGGGAAAAACATGTGGGGCCGAAATGATCGACCATAAAGCCATGCCGGTCCAGGCGAGTGGAACGCAGTGGCAGCTGTGTGTGGCTTGTCTGTGGAGAGGACCCAGAACCTCATTGTCCACCGTGCATTGCGCTCGCTAGGCCGCTAGATCACACTGTGATTCTAGCGTGGCCGTCAACCGTCGGAGTTGACACCGTGGTGCCATGGGTCTCGAGGCCTTATCTGTCCGACTCCCTGTCGACTCTCCAGTCGGGCACGGTCGAGCGCTGTCTCAGGCCGTGGAGGCAGCGTTGGAGGCGTGCAGCAACCAGACGTTCGCCTGGAGACGAACAAACGCGGTTCCTCTAGACACTCTACTCACATCCACGGACAGCCTGGCCGCATTCATGGCTGGGTCCCAGAGCATCAAGCGCTTGAAGGGATCCCGAGGAGCCTTGTGTTCACCGGCTTTTCAGCGTGGGGCAAGCAGCGCTGAATGCCTATCAGCGGGCCGTGCGTGGGTGTGCAGAGGCCAAAGGAGCATTCTGTGCGGACAGCTTTTGTGATATATATATATATATATCACCATCTATAATTACAAATTCGGATCTTTAAGCTAAGAAACAGCACAGGGGGTGGTTCAAGAAACGGTTTGATAAGATATTTTAATCACAACTGTATTTTGGGATGCGACAAAACATTGGGATTCCAACCCCAGAACTATTCAACCAGGGGATTGGGGAATGGGCTTGCTCAACAGGCTAGATTTAAAGGACCAAAAGCAGGTATTAAACAGCAACAGTGAAAGGGACTTTGGCAACAAAACCATGTGTAATACGGTAAGCGAAGAATTAGGTGTTTCACAAACAGATTCAAACATAACTTACGTTATTTGGGGATGTCTACACCTATGATGGTTTTATCACAAAATAGGGTGTAAACTCCCCCGGGTTCAGCCAACAAAGACGGGTGTGTACCCAAAAAATGATGGTTTAATGTGTTTTTGAATTTAGATTTGAAGTCCTTTTTGTTCACCATTCAATGGCCATAGATTGGCTGCATAGTCCCCCAATTATCACAGTGTTGCCTATTTTAATATATTCATATATTCCCAACATATCCGGCAAAATCCCATTATGTCACCACTCTTTCCCATCATATTCCTGTTTCAACCCAAAGTTTCCCCAGTTCCTCTCTCCATTTCCCCATTTCCCAATCCAGACACATCCAGAAATGTAATAATTGGTTCTATTCCAATGTATCCCTATTATTGTTGATTGATACCCCCATGTTGTTGGCAACTATGTTTAATCACATCCACCTCCATTAGTCACTTGATTAAATCAAGTTGAATCGCAAATCTAGTTGGTTAAACCAGTATTCCTCACCATATTTGATGGTTTCCCAACCATATTCTCTCAGCACCCAAATATCATTTGATATCGACTACATATCTCCATTACATCCCCATTACATCCCCATTACATCCCCATTACATCCCCATTACATGCATAAAATCTCTATGATTGTTGGACGTGGGATGTTCAAAATCATCCTAGTATGAAGTTGGAAAACAATGTAATACTATATTTTGATAATATCAATACATATCAATACTATATATGGATAATCTATGGATAATCTATGGTTAATCTATGGTTAATAAATGGTTTATGTCACATCCTCATGACACATCCCCATTGTTTTTCGTGTAGATATGTTCCGTCACGGACAAGGCCATGCAATCCCCCGACTTCACCTCATCGAAGTCTCTTGGCCAGATAGGCCAGATCGGGTTTTTTCTGAGTTTCCACGAAAAATGGGTGGATTTTTGAAGGGTTTATGTTGATCTACCAGAGGATATATAGGATTATTTAGGCAATTTTGGGTATATTATATAAAATGATGGATTTTCTATTTTACCTGAGGGTATACTATATCTACATATACGGCTACGGATCAGAAGCTATAATTGCCCATGTTTAGGAGTGAACATCCATGAATCTCAGCTGTTTTGACTCATCCGCACATGAAATAGAGTACCCCATTCCATCCACCAATCATCATGTTCATTCAGCTAGACATACATAAGGACCAAACCCTATCTTCAGACATACTTATATAAACATATATTTAATATAAACACGAATTGCGTTGCAAAATGTTGCAAATATGATGATTTTGATGATGATTGATGGATAATCATTGCCAACATCTTCCGTAAGTGTTTGATGATCTTCCATTGGATCCTCCGCTGTGGTAATCATTTTCCCCACTATATAGATGGCCCAATCAAACCCATGACGGATCCATGGTGCTGGTATATTAATGCTAACACAAAGGGAGTATATTGATGGGATATATATATTTACCTATCATATTGTTGAGAAAATCATCTATCCCGATTTGTTGTTCAACTATGTCAGTTTTTTCTTGCTTGTTTTTCCCGAGCTTTGGGCTAGCCGCTAGCTCCATTTTCCTGTGACCTTCCAGCGAAATCGTGAGGATCGTCACTCGACACTTCTGCACCAGTGCATCTTGGCACCCCGGGCCCCGCTGTTCAGATTGGTGAATCATGGCCAACACTGGGAAATCATGGGAAATATATATGGAAATATGAACAAATCAGGAAAAGGGTTGATATTTTTGGATACAATTCGTAAGTTGATCTTTGATTGGGTTTGGGATTTAAAATTCAAATTGCTGGAAAACGGTCGCTAGCGTGAGTTTCAGGATCAGTTCGGTACCATTTTTTTGTTGCAACCTCGGCACAAGTATGTTTCTTCATATTCTGTAGATGCCCTGAAGTTCGAAGCAGCTGCTGAATGTTGGTGAAGACAGGTGCTACCCATGGCATACCCATGTCATATCCCTGCAAGAACCCCCCTTTCTTTCGGCAACGTTGCCGCTGCGGGTACTGCGGCCCGAGGTCTGGACCCACGACATGGACACCAACAGCATGCGCTTGTACCAAGCCGTGCGTGGAGGTGACCGGAACGAGGCGGCTGCGAAAAAACCATGGAATTTGTCCAAGTATAACAAAGATGATCAAAGATATTGATTTTTATTGGATTTAATAATTGATTATATAATCAAATATAATCGAATCAGATGTTTTATTGATTTTGATTGGGATTAACAATCAAATATAATCGAATCATATAAACAACAATATCTGGTGGTTTGAAATACGTGTTTCTTTGTATTTTTTTTCTGGGGGTTGAAACACCAACCAGATTACGTAAAACTTGGAACTTGGAAATGGTTTGGCAAACTGCTGGTCGAGAAGAAACACTGAGGCTTACCTGATGGATGTCAGCTATTGTACCCCAAAATCCCCTGGTTCATCATTTGCTTCCCCGTTACGCAAAATAATTTTGAATGGTTTGCTTGGGGGTATATCCCATTCTGAGATACACTCATCATATATCAAGTTCAAACATTGTAATCCATGCATGTTTCGACCAGTCTAATCTAAAGCAAGCCCTATCAAACCCCATTAATTAATCCCCATTAAACACCCATAAACAATTGGGATATAATACCAGCTGTTTATACATCCCAATTCATTCCATGTTTTTTCAATAAAATGGCAGGTAGTGTACCCAAAGGTGGGTCAACACCATTAAACATATCATAGAATATAGGTTTGGTGAAACCCATTAAGCCTATCATATAAAATAAACATATATATATATATATGTATACAATTTGTGTATATATATATAAATAAGATATACGTGTCCAAAGAGCATCCCACCAGCTGCGTTTCTATTGAGTGAGCTGTGCTCTGTAAGAAGCTGGAAGGAAGCCTTGTGGGTTCTGTCGGCGCATAGCAGCCAGAAACTGCCTTGGGAGAAGGTTGCACCGGCGATGCCGCCGCAGCCTCTGCTACAGACGAACAAAGCAGACCTCGAAGGCAGCCAGGACAATATGGCTAGATTTGCTGGCGGTCATGTTTTGGGTCTTTATCTCGGATGAGGCATGCAGAGACGATCTACGGCGGGAGGAGCACCGTTGCTGGCAAGGTACAAATCTTGGCAGTGTTTCAGCCAGCAGATCTCTGGTGCTACGCGTGCCACGGAAGGTGGATCCTACATGGAAAAATGGCGTTGCAACGCGGCCATTGGCAACGACCTTGGGGCGGCTACTTTGAGAGACGTGCCCCATGTGATGATGACACATTTACCAAGGCAACATTCTACGTAGCTATGGAAAATGATCATTTTTGATAGGTATAAATCAACTATTTGTATGGCCATTGTCAATGACGGAAACATACATAGACTAGGTATTACCTATCAAAAATGGGGGTTTTTATGGTGTCTTAATATGTTCATAGTGGCCACTTCATGTCATTTTACCGTCGGGGCTTGGGATCAGGTGAAGAGTGCCGTGGCTGCGCGAGCGGATCTTCACTGTCGCCACCTGGACCCAGTGGGAACGATGGTTGGTGGCTATTGGCGAAGAAAAAAACATGGAATCAATGGGCATTCCAGGATCCTAAAATGGAGGTACGTTAGTACCATATTTTTGGCCATATTTTGTGGGGATATTCCCTGAAATTTAGGCCTGAACAATAGGCCTTATATATGGTAGGTACCTCCAATTTAGGTTCCTGAAATGGCCATTGATTAAATGGCTTAAATGGGGAAAAATGATGACAAACCAACAATTTAAATAAGTATATATATATATATATATGGGATTATTATGGGATATTTGGCACACATATGTATCTACATATTTATACGATTGGAGTGCATCACCGGAGTCCTTGCTGAGCAAAAAAAAGCACTACTCTATCTGGGGATATGTCCTTTTTGACTGGGCGAACTTATATAGTTTGAAAAAGAATTACGTACCAACTGGGATGCACTAACCCAAGCAGGATGTGAATCATCTCAAACATGTTGTTGTCGTTGTTGTCGTTGTTGTTGTTGTTGTTGTTGTTGTTCATTGTTTGGTTTGTGAATGATTTCATTTACCCTCTGGTAATCAAACCTAGCAAGTGGAAATCCACAATATGTGGACAATTTTCATTTTAAACCTCTATGTATAGAGATTTTCCAGCCAGCCATGTTCAATTACCAGAGGGTACCCAGGATGGAGTTCAAGGTGTGGTAAACCAGCACACGTGGAGTTGATGGCAGATGAGTAGTGGCTAATCGTTTAACCCCTCCAAAATATGATGCCCGCATGTGATGTTGTTGGAGCAAAAATAGAAGGAACCCTATCTTTAAAACATGGTGTTGACTCGGTGTTGACATATGTATGAAGTGAAGGAAAATGAAGCGTGACTCAGTTGCTTGGTCCAGCCTCTACTCCTATTTCGGTCATGTTCGGTATATGCCCCTCAGGGCCTCAAGTTCATTGTGCAGTCCAGTTTTGGTTTTGAAAATGAATCGAAACATGAATATACCTACGAAATCCTCAGTCTGGAATTTTAGACGGACCCAGCTCAGTCTGAAATTGTAGCCCAACAGATTTTCTAGGTATGAGGGATATGAATGGATATGAATGATATGAAGATTGACTCTTCCAAGCCTCATGTTTTGGCCAACGGCTTGGCCCTTTTTTTTTCGCCGCTGGCTGCCATGGCTCGAACATGAGGCGACTATGCGGGCTTGACGCCTTTGCATCATGCAGCGCCCCTTGGTTGCCAGTTTGGTTCACAGAATTGGATGATGGGAAAATGTTAACCGGAAAACCCTTAAAAACCATGGTTTCCTGTAGATTTTCCCTTGAACCAATCCATTGATTGGTGAGTTAAAAACCTCCTTCCCTGCCTTGAGTCAGGACTTGTTGGGTGGATGATTGGCTCGCCGAAAAAAACGAGCAGCCCATTTTTTTTGAAGCAGCAGCCCATCATAGCCGTGCAAGCCGGACAGCTTTTTTTTCCCAAGATGTTGATCCGGTGAGGCATGAAAATTGATTGTGTTTGTTTCTATACATATAAATACACACATAATTCTGGATTATATATCCAACTATATGATACATAGAACATCATAGAACTCTGAAACTAGTTGGATCAAAGCATGTTCATCATTGTTCATCTGGGGATGAAATATTAATGGGCTAACCATGTTATTGACCATTATTACTGGGTGGTGGTTTGGAACATTGTTTACTTTCCATATGTAATATATGGGATAATCCTTCCCATTGACGAACTCATATTTTTCAAGATGGTTCTTGCACCACCAACCAGATAGAAATCTATAGATAATGGAGTTTATACACCAATTTACAGCTGAGGAGGCTAACCACCTTGTTGGATGATTAATCATACACCATGTTAGATGTTATTAACCAATAAATTAACCATTAATCTAACATGATTGCAATTCCTATGGATGAACTCGCGCCAACCGGAGCCGCCCAGGATCCGTGGTGACCCACAGATGGCCGGGAGCCCAAAGTGCCGGCACATTTGCGCGGCTCCTCCAACAAGGAGTGGTTGCAATGCTTGATGGTGCTGTATTAAGCAGGAAAAGAATGGTATATAAAAATGGTACACAATCAGTTAATAACTGGTTTAGTCAATTTCTTGTGTGAAACTGGGGGGAGACCCTGTTAAATTTTGTTTTTTCAATGCGGATAAGGATGATTATGCATTGGGTGTCAAGGGGTGATGTGGGGATGGGGGTTGACCAGAAAAACAGGTTTTGAATGTGTTTACCAACGAAAATGTGGTTCTAAAGCATCTGGTGGCTTTTTGGGGATAGGTCAAAACATATCAAAACCCTCTGATTCTATGAATGTGGCCTGAACGTTGAAGGCACCATTTCTTTTTTGACGCGAACACCAGAGTACCAAGGGTTTGGGTCCAGAGCGATTTTCATACCAAAGGATTGTCATAGTGGTTTGTTCCCTCCATTGAAATGGCAAACTCTGGCTTACAGTTACAGTACAGCGCCCTTTTTTATTTGGAGAATCAGCAATAGATAATTCACCATGACACTATTATCATAACATAACTACCGTAAGCCATCATAGAATTACAACTCTTGACACAAGCCCATCATCATAACACCGGGATTTGCTGAGTTCTTCGGTATTTTTCCAGGGAAATCGATAGGGGAATCTCTGTTGGTCGCTGTCAGAGGTGGAACTCTTGGCTACTTTGCGTGCAGATGTCTCTGCCAGTGACAGGATCGCCAGGGGAATCAACGATTTCTGGAGGATTTCTGGAGATTTCTGGCGTTTTTCTATGTTCATCCTTCACGGATATGATGGATATGTGTTTTTGGAATGATGGATGTTGATGGGACAGTCATTTACCCATCTCATTGACACACGCTTGTGTAAATTTATACTGACCTCACTGTGACCTCACTGGAATCATGGTAAGTAAGGGGAATCATCCCCAGATGGTCTTAATTCAGGTTTGTGTGTTTTTTTTATTTTACCCAGAATTATGGCAATTATTCATTGGAAATGTGTGCATCTTCATCAATATACATGGGCTGCTATACAACATCCAATTCCAAGGTTGTACAAAATCGATCAAAATCGTCAACGATTGGACCAATGACTGAGGTGCCGCATTGGTTATTTCTAACATCATTTTATGACTAGGTTCACAAGTGGGTTTGACATTCTAGAACTAGATTTCAACTAGGGTTGCTATGGAACATGTTCGAACTTCATGAAGCTTTCTTCCAGTCACCAAGGAGCTCACTGGGTGACCTGTGCTGCTTCAGGAATGCCACGACACCCCTGCACTATGCTGCGCAATTGTCCAAGTTGGAGGCCCGTTTTGGACCAAACGGTTGGTCCCTAGTAGGGGAATGGTGGGTGAATTGTTAATCCACCATGATTTAATAGGGAAGTCATCATAAATCAATATAAATCATCTATAAATAATATATGTTTTTGCTGGTTATTCAAGGCCAGGTTAACCATGTTTCTAGGAAAGAACTTGCAGCCTGGTTGGACAGAACAAGAGCTGGAGATACAAGAGTCGAGAGGGATTGTATTTGTATAACTGCTGGCTGTCATTGTAACGATTCCTGTTAGTATGGCTATGCTCAGGGTCATACCTGGGTATCTCAAGAACATGGTGTTACTGTGCAAGTGCTTGCAATGTTCCAGAGATCAATAGCAGTATGTCAAAACTGTATCTCTTCTAAGACTATCCGAAATGGAGAAATCCTTTTGTTGCGTTTGATCTGGTCAACTTCTTTGGTCTGTCTGAAATTCAACACTCCTGGATGGCTATAAGATAAGAAGGAAAATGATGCTGCTGCTGAAGCAGTGGATTTGGGACAACCCCATATTATTCTGTTGTATGGGAAAATCTACAGGAAAGCTCTGTATTTGATGGGCAACACCCATGGTTCCCAGTTTGATTTTCCCTTACACCAACCCATTGACTCATTTTGGCGCAAGCAGCTGGGGCCTGACCAGGAGAATTGCTGGAAGTGTCCATTACTTCCCTGGTTGGGATACTGAGTGGTTTAAATTGATCACATCCAGTCTATCCAGTTTCTGATTATGACGTATGACTGGACACTACTTGACATAGTTATACATAGCTAACATATCTTAATGTCCATATTGATTTGAATTTACAAACTGTGTATCTCTTTGCGTTTCTTGGTCAATAAAAACAACACGTGATGACACTCCCAGCGACCTGGTAGCGTTCAGGTTGCTGATCTTCTCCTCCGTCGCGGTGCATCGTTGGAACAGCGCTTGCTGCAGGGTGCCTGCGCAGGCCTGGGTCGACTGGATCCTTGAGGTGGGAATTTCAAGTACAGCTGCCATAGAAAGTCATAGGGCGGCAGAACCGCTTACTACAGCCTTCAAATATAGGCGTAATATATATATATAGTTATATATATATACTATATATGGTAGGTGCCTCCAGCTTGGGTACCTGAAATGGCCAGTACTTCAAGTTTGGCCAGCAATCCTACAGAAAGAACAGTAACATTCTTCTAAAATAGTTCAAAACTACTTTCTGTTTGTTTATCTCTGAAAGATGGAAGTTGCAGAAAAACAAATCTATCCTAAAATCGTGATGATTTTGGCCATTTCTTTTTCCAGGGGTGGTAGTATATATAGTTGGGGATGTAATATAATATATATATATATAATAACATATTCGAACATACTAACCAGATCAAACCAGCTCTTTTTTTGTCTGCAGCTTATCTAAAATTGGGAATGAAAGGAGGATTCCCCGCCTTGGGGCCAGGATTTACCCCACTGGACAATGCCAGGGCCCCAGAGTTTGGGAGAGTGATTCTGTGGACAAAAACTTAAAACCGTGAATCCTGAATATTTTGCTCCATAGGGATACATGAATCCCTGCATTTGGGCAATTTGTTCGGTGAAAGGTAAGTAAATAATATATATGTATATATCAAATATATATATATATCAAATATATATATATATATATATCAAATATTTATATATATATATATTTATATATATATCATATATAATTATATATATTCCTCACATGCTCCATGAGGGTTTCTTTGAGGCCAGAGAAGTGTGTCGGGTCAACGCTTCCCCCGTGGCGCGCATGGCTCGGGGGCCGAGCATTGCCCTGGACTCATGGCATGCCACTGTCTTGGGATACATGTCACATATGTATATAAGGAACACAAAATTAAAACAATAAGACTACTGATAATAATAGCTGATAATAATAGTGATAATGATAGTGATAATAGTAGCTGTTCATAATCTTATAGGAATAATAATCCATCTTCTTACTGGTGCTTAGTAGGGAATGAGGGAATGATCCATAATCACTAGTAATAATAATCCCAGCAACTACTAAGCACCAGTAAGAAAAACAATAAGAATAAGAAGGAGACTGAAAATAATAGTGATACTCGTAATATGTGTCATAATAATAACAAAGAAATAATGCTAATAATTGCAATAACAGCAATGATGTGGAAAATGGGCATACAAGTAACAAACGGAATCATTATAATACTAATATACTGTACTTGTAACGTAAATTGTGATACAATCACGCACACACAAAAATACATGTTCATGATGACGACGAAGATGACGACGACGACGACGATGACGACGACGATGATGATGATGACGATGATGATGATGATGACGATGATGATGATGATGATGATGACGATGATGATGATGATGATGACGATGATGATGATGATGATGATGGCTGTTTCTATTCAATCGCTGTTTTTTTGTGTTTAGTTGATGCTTTCCCTGGTACCAGTGCATCCACTTGGTGGGCCTTGGTGGTGGGAAAGCCGAGGTCCTGCAGACCTTGGAGGCCACGGAAGAAAGTAGCTTTTGGATGGTGAATTATGGCAATACCATGGGGGATATATGATATATCATATCTATATTAAATGAATAGTCATATGAACATATTTATGGATGATATACCATATATCATAAATAGATGAAATACCCCATACTCCATCATAATGATTTGTATACATATATGATGAATAATGATTAATAATTGGATTAATCATGGAGTACCCTCCAGTAATTGAATATAGCGAAGCTGTGGCCCAATTAGTTTGAGGATTCACCTATTCAGAAAAGTGAGTTTCCATAACAAACTGCTAAATTACCACAGAGTAAGATTGGAGTAAATGTACATATACAATGTGAGGCCCCCCAGTTATAAGTTGGTTTATAAGCCCCAGTAACTATAGTTATAAGTACCATAAACCATAGTTATTGGAGTTATGTGCACCAACTTAGCTATCGAACGGGGGCCTCACTTTGTATCCATCATATATATATATATATATATCCAAGATGATGGACCCAGATCCCCTGATTTGAGTGGGATTGTCCATTGGGGAAATGATGAATACACTTGCTGTAATTTTGGAGATGTTCAAATGGAAACCACCAAGATGAAATTACAACTCAACGGCTATTTTTTATACCTGTGATAGTGGTATTTGAGCCACTATATCTTCTTCCATGAGTGTTGGATTATAGTAAACGAACGTAACTATGGAAAATCACCATTTTATAGCTGGGTAGATCAACTATTTCGACTGGGCCATTTTCTATGTCGCAAAGTGTTGGTAGCTACGGGGCCCCGAATTGGCAGGCCGCCCAGTGTTTGCGGGGCGCACGAGCTCGAGGTGGGAGACATGGGAGAAACCGAGAGGAGAATGGAGATAGATGGGATAAGATGGGATAAGATGAGGTATTGCTTGGGTTAAATCTATGGTTAATCTATGGTTAATCTATGGTTAATAATTGGAATAACAATATATCTGGTTGGTGGTTTGGAACATGGATTTTATGACTTTCCCATCATATTGGGAATTTCATAATCCCAACTGACGAACTCCAGGATTTTTCAGAGGGGTAGGTCAACCACCAACCAGGAGATATTGGGAGAATATTGGGAGAATAATGGGATAAGATGGGATGATATGGGATATTGAGAAATATTGGTTGCTGTACCTTCACTTGGAAGACTATGAATGTATTTTTACATTGGGAGCATATGGGACCTGGATTTAAGACGTTTAAAAAAAAAACACTTTTTTTTGGTAACTTTTTGGAAATGAATAAGTCTTCCAAGAAATTGGGAGTCATCACACAATTTGCCAGTGAAGAAGTTGTCGTCCAAATACAGGTTACACAGCGATATTTGGATGTATCTCGAGCCGTTGTGTACTGAAACTTTAAAGGTTGGTTGAATTTAAATTTAGGTTTTTAGGTTTACACGGACCCGGGTTGCCCCATTTCCTACCCGACCCCATCTTTGGACCCGTCTCGTAAGAACAATGCCTCACCTCTATAGAGGGTCAAGTGTAAATTTTACTTAGAGGATAGTCGCAGCTGGCAACTTGTCAACAAGCCTGGTTAACAAGTCCCCTAAATGGGTTTACACCATGTTCCCTTCTTTTTCATGCCAATGAAATTTGGATGAAGAAAATTGCACATAAATTGACGTACCATTCTCAAGTCTCACTTGTTTAATGAAGTTATTTACTTAGGTCCTCATTATTAATTATTGCTGTTGAATTCCCCACTTTTTGGGGATATATATAAGTTGGCTGGAGATCAAACATCATTTTTTTTCATGGTCATCTTTGTTGCGTCACAACATGTCATCAGGAGTATAAGGAGTATCACTTGTTGCTTCCCATTACGACTGGAGATCCCCAGTATTTTTTCCAATTTCTTCCCCATCGCTTCCATCTTCCAGTTCAATTTCCCTCAGTGCAGCGTAAGTCCCAATTTTTGCTGGTGAATTCAGCATTTATCCCATTTACCTCCATTTTCCTCAACGCTTCAGTCCCCATGAAATGGAACATACTCCATTTACCCTACAGTAGTCATACGTGGCTTGCTGAAAAATCCATCATTTAGTTCGATGATTTTCCCAGCTAGAAACCTCCATGGCCGGTGTCGGGATGTTCTAATTGTCATATTTGATGACACCAGAGGGTATGATATCCTATTCAATATCCCACTATTAACAAGTATGAACCATTCTTCACCAGTATTAACCACTAATTAATGTGTTAGCCACTATTAAGCCATGGTTATAACATGTTATAGCCACGATTTCCCCATGTCTTTGTGAGAGATTTCTCTCCGCACGGCCAGGTCTCCCAAGCGCAACGTGTGCAACGTGTCTTCGGTGTCGGGCGGCATGGCCAAAGTGTCGAGCCAAAGAGCCAAGGGTCATTTGGGTGGAGAAAAAAGGGGGATGGATGGGAGGAACCATGAAATCCCATGAAATCCCTCTGGATATCCCCTGGAACATGTTCTAACCATGGCTTTTAAATGTGGCCTAACACATGAAAATTCGTGGTTTTTTCTACTGGTGTTCAGAATGGTTCATCCCATTTGTACCCGGCCTGGTAAACGTTTACAAAAAAATCTATGGAAAGATAACCAGCATTTTCTAGCTGGGTAAATCCATTATAAATGGCAATTTTCAATAGCTATGTTTGTTTACCAGAGGGTAATAATGGGATATTTAATGGAATACCCTCTGGTGTCATCAAATACGGCCATTGGAAAATCCAAGCACTGGCCATGGAGGTTGTTATAGCGAAAATTTATAAACGAAATGGGAGAACACTGATAATCTATGATTGGAAAATCATGGAAAATCTTTAAACTAAATGGGAGGACATTGATAATCTATGATATTCTATAAATGTGATTCATAAAGCTTAAGAACGCTATATCTAATGGTTAAGCAAAATACATCTGGAACATTTGGAGGAAACAAACACAACAGGATCATTTGGAGGAATCAGAATGGGAGGACATGTGTTGTCACGTTTTTTTTGTGGTTGATCATGGTTCTAGTGGATGAAGAATTGGAAAACAAATTAAACGTGGCTAGCAGGGAGTTGTCCCCGCACCATGGCAAATGGATGTTTTTGTTAAGGGAAAATGTTCCAATGAATGAGGTTCGACATGTCCCCTCCAGAAATCCAACATGGCATGGCTGGATTTTATACCTATGTAGTTCGATCATTTTCCCAGCGAAAGAAAGGCAAAATTCATGTCTCAGATGATAAAGTTCTTCAGTGTCACAGTGTGCACAACATTTTTTTCAGAACTCTTCGTATGTTTCTGGCATACCATCTGAATCCCACGACTGGTAACTTAAAGATTGGTGTGTTTCCATCCACTGGTGACCTTTGTCCAGATCCACAAACACGTTTCAGCATGTAGTAAAACAGTCAAAAACCAGCCAATTCTGGTGATATGTGTAGGATCCACGATTTTTTAGTGGCACAACATCCCAGGATATCCCAGGTTTAAACCGTGAACGCCGCTATCGCAGCTCTTAGTGTTCTATCCTCCGTGTAAACATTACACGTTCGCGTGACGTTCTTCGATTCATTTTGGCCGAGACCTTGGTTAGGGCACAGTGGACGTGTACAGACCGTGAGAAATGGGAGTTGTCCAAACATAGGGTGCCCAAAGATCCAATGATTTATATTGATTTATCATCATTATCCCTCTTATAGAAATGGCATTAAATGGCTATATTGGAGGTATATCAGTAAATAGATTGCCCTATTTTTGCAGTCTTAATGATCAATATCATCATTGTCTAAGTCACGCTGCAATTTTCGCTTTGTTTTTTTGCCTAGTTTGGACAAAACCGAATGGAGATATTTCACCAGAAATGCGGGTCAAATGCCCGATTCCACCCTGCTTTGAAGAGGAGTTTATCCAGCACTAGGCCGCTTGAACCGCTTCAACCGCTTGAACCAATTGGTGTTTATGCATGGATTATAGTGTGTATATAGTTTATGCATGGATTATAGTGTGTATATATATATATATAGTAGATATATATATATATACTATACATATATACTATATATATATATGTCAAAGGGAACGTAGTAACAGCACACAAACAATTCATGCATGGGACGCCATCTTGGCTCAAGACCCCACGCGTGTGCAAAATAAGTGTTCGCCGTCCGCCATGATTAACGGGTCCGGGAACTACCAGTGAAGCGGGTACCACTTGAACTATAACATCCAGAACAAGGATCGATTTGTTCACAGGTTATCAGCCGTAGGGCTCACTTCTCCCTCCGGGAGAGTGGTACCTGCGTGCTGGTAGCCGGGCCTTCTGAGCAATTGATTGAGGACGCAAAGGACCAATCAGCTCATCATCGCAAAGATGCATGGCGGCAGCGGAGATTCGCGCACCACGCAGTTTACCTTCAACGAGAACACTGCCATGCCGGTCGAGGAGGTCAATCAGTCTTCCCCTGGCGACACGGCAGACAGTGGTGGGATACGCTCTACCCGAACTACACAGTCCGGATGGCAAGTAACGACGAACAGACGAAGGATATCCACCCAAAGTACACCAAGATCTTCTCGAAACAGTCCTCGGAGTGATGTTGTCCGCCAAGGGCATCGACAATCTCGAGGGCGAACTACTCCTAGGGACAGATCCACCAGGGCCGTGACCGACCGAGTTGGTGAGAGGACCGGGGATAGTCGTGTTAAGAGGAGATCAACGGATACTTCTGTGGCTAGTGAACCTATCGCCATGATAGAAGAACTACGGGCACAATGTCAATCCCTACGTAATCAGCTGAACAACATGGAAGCATACGCTGCATCTAGAGATCAACTGATTCATGACATCGAGATTAGATTCACCGAGTATCTTCAGGAACACAACCAGAACGTATTTGATGAAGTCAGTGCACTCAATCGTAGATTGTCACGTTCCGCGAATGAAGTTGCAGAATATCAAGCAGAGTTAATGGTAGCATCTCAAGAAGATGAAGGTGCAACAATGCGCATCCAAGACCTTGAACGCCGAGGTGCCCTAATGGAACATGGTGCACGACGGATCCATCAACGTGGTATGGAGATCCAGGAGGAGTACAAGGATGAAGTACATCACCTTCAAGGACTATTGGGTAATACGGAGGCAAGATTCAACAACTTCATCAAACCAATGTCTTAACCACCGATATTGCCAATCGACTCTACAATGAAGGTCAAGAAATGCAAAATGATTTCCAGAACTCAATCATGGAATATCGTAATCGATCCGAAATGGCATCCTTCTCTAGCAATCAACTTGAAGTGATTAGCCAACAACAATCGATTGCAGTTCATGAACTATCTGAACGGAATCAACTATTGAGTGAAGCTTTGGTTCAATCTCGTAAACAGGCCGAGCTGTATGAAGGCAGTATTGACGAGATCACTAGAGAATCTAGGAAGAAGGTTTTCGAGGCAAATCAGGCCAAATTAGAAAGTGATCTGAAGCATCGAAACACCGAACATGATACCGTCAAAAGAATTGCATCATACAGGAACCAAGAGGCCGAAGCGATATCACACCTGAGGCTTGAATCACAGGCCAGCTTGAATTCGATCGCGAGGGCCGAGCATTATGAAGAGCTCTACACCAATGAGCAGGAGATGAACTGCGAGTTAAAGGATGAGATCAAGTTGCAGAACACGAAGTTGCGGAGATCGTTGACTCAGGGTTCTACGACCGACGGTCGTGGCCCAGATGAGATGCTTGTTGAAGATCTACGTAATCAAGCCAAAATCGCTCAAATTAGGGTTCAGGATCTTGATCATGAAGTTCATGAATGTTTACAAGAAAACATGTTATTGAAAGAAAGATTGGCTGAAGTTGCGGATGTAGGGGCTTCGTCCCTCACCAATGCTGAGGTCCGAACTCTAAGATCAGAACTAGAGAGTGAGCGAAAATTGAAATTGGCTAGTGGTGTTCAACAATATGAGAGATCATGCATGTTCATGGGGGAAATCCAGGATAGGGATGAAAAGATTGGCATCAAGAATTCTGAGATTGTTGACATGAAACGTCAAGTAGATGAAATGAGAAAGAGTCTCAAGGATTCTGAAATGTCCATATCCAGGGTCAGCCCTGACACACTTCCCTATTCTGCAGGCATTCCCAACACCGATCTCGCATCCAGACTGGTCATCGACAAACTGGAGAATGACGTGAGTGAGGCTAACTGTGAAAACGCCATTCTGAAATCTTGGGTTTCGCAGATCGACAAGGAGTTGACCTATGAGACAAATGTGGCTCATTCTTATCGTGGACATGCTGTACCTTCTCAACAACAACAACATTCTCAATCAAACAAAAGAATCGCTGATCTGCTGAAAGAGGTTGACAACAAGATCGCTGGCGGAACTGAGAGGGACTATTACAAGCCGCCGAGTGGATGGAGCGGTCCGCCTGACCCTGATGGACCTCCGGACCCTTACGGGCCTAACGGACCAGGACCACCTCCAGAACCACCAGGTTTGCCTTCAGTTCGAGGATCGCAACGCGATTCAGCAGATGATGTCTCCACAGCGGCTTACACTGCAGAAGAAGTACCGAGAATGTCAAGAAGAGAGGCTGACAAAGTCTATGTTAGCCCATGGCCAAAGCAACAGAATCTTGGGGTTTGGCAATCAGATCTCATCAAGAGTGTTGTTCTTTCGGCAAATGACGGAGACAAAGCCGCATGGGAAGCATGGCTACAGCCGGCTATTCGACCAAATCCTGACATCGAGCTATTGAATGACAGTGGGGGGCAACGGTATCAGTCCATTGACGCCAAGTTGTCAATTGCATTGTCAAACGTGATAGCCCAAGCCGGTGATGTTGCTCGTCATGTAGCGATCAAATTGAGATTGAGAACACAAAGTCATAGCCGAAGAGGAACCTATGTCATGGGACGGGAGATCTTGGCTATGATTCTGGAGCACTTCAGAACCCCAGGTCAACGAGAAACATCCTTCACCATGGAGCACATCGTATCGATGAAGTATCTCGGTGACTCGAACCTAGAAGTGTTCTACGAGAAATGGATGGAGATGGTATCAAATATGATGCCGGATGACGTACCTCCTGATGATTGGCTTCGTTGACGCTCTATACAAGAAGATTCGAAATTCGAGTCTTATGTTGTTCGACATCAAGCAGTACGAGTCATGGATGGAGGGAGACCAAAGACGAAATTATCGCTACTTGTTGGACGTCATCGAAAGACACATCTCCAGAATCAGAGAGGACAAGCACGTGGCCGCCAGAGAGAAGTATGCGAGAGAATTTGCAGGTGGCGGCAAACCTTCAGCTCCTGCTTCGAACCCAACTGCCGCTGCACCGGATGCAAATCCAAAAGCGAAGCCTAAAGCTACTCCCAAGGAGAAGGCAGCGCCCAAGGCGAAGGCCAAGGCCGATGCAGCTCCAGTTCTACCATCACCTCAGCCTAAACAGCATGCAAAAGGAAAAGGA